AAATCCTTTGGAAAAAGTTACTTAGAACAAACTAACCTTAGATTCATCCGGAAGGGCGAAATTGGCGATTGGAAGAACTATATGTCGGATGATCTATCGCGAAGATTTGATGATTGGGCTGAACAGCATTTGAAAGGAACTGAGTTAAGCTTTGAATAAAAAATTATCGCCAGCTGTACGTATTAAGCGGGATGGGTTGTGTTATTGTTACTGTTTTAACTCTTTCTTGTTATTTTGATTCGACTATGAATAAACATATAGAATTAGTTACTTAATTTTTATACGTAATTTATTGTCCCTGTACTTTTTTTTTGGATTCCGATTTCAGGATGCGCGTGAGCATTGAGGGACCACACTTTTAACTTGCAAAATAAATTATCAATGTATACCTATAGTTTAGTACTGAAAACAGTTCCAGAATGAACCCTTGTTTATGTTAATGAAATATAACAACATAATATGTTACATTTCATAAATATAAACAAATCATATGACTAAAAATAAAAAATGCGGTTGCCAACCCGCTTGCCAAGCGTGACAACTGACAACTATGGCAAATATCCCCCGTATAAGGATATCCACGAGGGAGGCCTATGTTCTGCAGTGGACTTTAATAGGCTGTAACGGAGGATTGAAAAACTGGCCCTAAATCAACAAAACCGTACTTTTTGCAGATAAAAAGTCTAAAAGCATTTTGTAAGTGTTATAATTAGGATACGAAGTATTATGAGAATCCAGCACTCCGTTTGGTCCTTGGTTGCCACTGGGTGGTACACAGGTAATAGACGATTGTGGTAAATTTGTAAAAGTAAAAAATTACTTTCCATAAGTATTGCTTATAATCCATGTTGAATTTAATACCTTTTTCTACTTTTCTTAATGTCAGAAAAATACTTAAATACTACATATTTGCACTTCGGTAAATTGTTTAGAATAAATAGAAAGAGTACCTGCCACTTTGTCTTGCGTATGAGGACCATGAGAAGAAAGTTTTTAATTGCGTCGAAACTTGGACGGTGCTACAAATCGTATCGTATAATAAGGCTACAATAGCTATCCAAGTATAGAAGCAGATTACGAAGCCTATCCAATTGCAGAGAGGTGTAAGATAGGGTCGCATTACATTCTCGAAACTCTTCACTGGTGTACTGGATGACGTTTTCAAGCTACCTGTAATAGGTCAGCATTAATGCAAACACAGCACTCGGCTTCGATTTGTCTCAATAGTGTCTCACATCGGATAGGTCTTAAGATGATGGAAAAGATAAAATTCTCGTGTAACGTTCTTTTTACACCTATAGGCCCACCACTAGATGGAGTAAACACATGTAAGAAGTCTGCGGACCGTTCTTTAGGTGTTTGTAATTATTTCTATTTGTCATAACTTGGTTTAAGTCTATGATCAGTAGTGGACTTGTGAAGGGCTGTAATGATATTGGTGTCAAAAAATAAATCATGCGTGAGTGTCGTGGAACACTCGGTTGGAACGAAGTTCCTTTCGTAGTATATTATTATTGATATTATATTATTGATTAGCAAATACAAATAAATGAATTACTAGCATCTATTAAAATGAAGCGTCATTTAAAATAATATTTCTTTCATGGAAAGATAAGAAAAAGTGCGAGGGAGCTTCCTTATAGCCCCGAAGGCCGTCTACACTACGTTAGAAGAGTTGCCGTGACGGAAAAATCTTACACTTTTTGTCGCCTAGCTGTCATCCGCCAAATCCGTACCGTCCGATAAAGAACTTCGTTCCAATAATGGCCTCCGATAGACGATATCAGCATCTAGTTAGAATGTCCAGACCGGCAACGGGAAGCAGGGTTAACGTGCGAGATGTCTCATGTGCCTGCGATCGTCTATACGCCTGGCACGCGTGATGATTACGATTATGATAATCCTCACGCAATGCGAAAGGCCCATGACCAGATGTAGACGGTTACGCGTTGATGATGAAAGGGAATTCCATTAATGTTTATTTATACCTTCAAAGTTCACAGGGGTCAATGAAAAAAAAAACCAGATCCAGTTCTGCCTTTTATTTTCACAATAGTGAGGTTCACAATACCGGAAATGAAACAATGATAGTCATATATCGAAGCATCTCCAGTGATAATGAAATAAAACATAATATTAATTGTATAAGATATGGGTGGTCTTAATTAACTTTGGTTCCGTATAACGAATTATATCTAAAGTGGTACATCTAATACATTCAATAATTTAAATAGAATACGAACGACATTAAAAAAAAAAAAACAAATAATTGACTATCAAATTTACTTTTTAAACAATTGAAATAAGGTAAAATATTTAATCTCAAATCGACTAGATAAAATTCTTAATTGACTCACAACATTTAATTACACAATGACATTATTTTTCAAATTTATAAAAAAATATTTTATTCATAATATTGCAGAACATTAAAATATTGATAAATTTTTCAAAACCTTAGTGCAACTATGTGAAAAGCCTAACTTTGCTGTGTTCGTCATGCATTTTCCCCGTCTTTTTTTTACACATTAGCACCCACTCATATTTACTCATAGGTAATCATGATACGAAAGGTATTCTATGAGGAAATAATACATCGCAATCATATATTCTAAAATAAATAAGCCTTTAATTAGAGAGATTCACAACATTAAATGGGTAGATGACTGTTATAATTTACTACATCATACAATTTAGAAGATTTAACTTTTTTATATAGAATAAGGATGATAAGCGAGCACACAGCCATCCTGATGGTAAGTGGATGTCGTGGTCGATAGAAATCTACATTTATCTCCGATTAATAATTAAAATACAGATGCGATGTCACCCTGAGGACAGTTGACAACAGTATCGTTTCCAGTAAAAAGGGTCTTCGGTTCTCTACACTCACCATACGAAACACAGTAGCAAGCTGCTATTTTACGCAAGTATTCTGTGAGGGCGTGGTCCTAACCCGGTCGAGCCAATCCATTCATGTTATTATATAGCTGCAATGTTGCTCTACCACGTATAAAAACTTCGTCGGTTTTTCGATTTAAGTTAAATTACATTTTATTAAGTACTAAAAAAATAGATGTTTGACTACAATTAATTCTCACTGGTATTAAGCAATTTTGTATAGAAAATTTTGTTTTGAGATAATTCTATCAAGAGAAAGAAGAGAACCCATAAGTTAAAAAAGAAGAGGAATTATAATTGACATGAGTGTCAACTACCCTATATGACTCTATAGGTATTGTTAGTTCATTTACCTCATTCAAAATGACATGAGCATCGATTATGAATTAATTCTGGCAGCATAGTTGATTGCACGAGCAGAGAAATAATACACAGTATATAATTGAATTAAATAAAATTAACTAATTAACTTAAATTATTACGTTTATGTTTATTTCAACGACATAAAATATATCTGTAACGTCTTTAATAAGTAATATAATATTGCTAAAACAAAAAAGAAAAGGAAACTGTAAATTATTAATTTGGGAACATTTAATATCTATAATGAATACATAACATAAAATAAATATATGGTCAGCATTAGATTTTTTTAGAACATTGCACAATCAAGGTGAAATGTAATTTTTAGTAGCGTAATTTCCATCATCATTGGCATGTAACGATGATGTTGATTTGATACACATGATATTAGGCCTTTTATTTGACCATATTCACGTTTGTCTTTAACTTAGTTGAAATACAAATCAAACCGCTCATTATATTATGAATGGATACGTAACCTGATAACATCTCTCATGGATATACATATAATGTGCAACAACTACACGACTATTGCTGTGTATATTAAACTTTATTTTTCTTATTTTCCGTGTTCTCTTAAATACAATAGTGTCTTAGACAATCTATTAAATAATTCCATTACTAAGTAATGGGTTAAAATTTCAAAAACTGGTGAAATATAAAACCTAATTTCACTACATAACCTAATTTTAAATATTTTGACAACACATCACTGTCAAACAGTGCTAAACATAATCATTAATTAGCCATTATAAAATTGATTTTAAGTTTAAAAACGTTGTTTCTATTGTCAACGAGTAAAGCTCATCTTAATTTGGGATTTTATCTTCTCCATTACAGTACTCTTTGGAATCTCTTTTTGGGATGTCGTGAACTTATCTGAGATCTGAAATAAATAATAACTTAAATATGTACAATATTTTAAAAGTAAAAAAATTAATATTTGAATACTTTATTACGTTGCAATTTCAAAGATACTCAAATTTCATCGACACTAGTGACTGCATTGGACAAAATAATTTTAATAACAATCTGGCTTAAAAAAGTCACCACTGTGTATAAACATTTTCATATTTTACGTATGCCTAAAATCAATACTTTATTTCGTAATACAAAAACAATTTTAATCACTAAAATTATTTGTATATAATAACAAAAAAGTGACTGATTCTTTAATACCTAATTTAGGTAGAATGATACAACCTAATAGGCCGTTACCGTAAATTTACGATTAATTTCATCAAATTTCTTTGCGTTAACTTAACCTAAGACAGTAGAATAGACAGCCATTTTTCACATTGAGTATTAGTAAAAGTGGCAAAAAGAAATCATTAATATACAAGTATTTTTTACATCTGTTTTCGAGCTTCGTATTTAAAAAGCACGGAGCAAAGATGTTTTATAGGTCTTTGGCCCGGAGATATAGAGCAAAGACAATATTAAGCATTAGTGACACTTGTGATAATATAACATTGTTATGAGGAAAAATTATTGAACCGATTTTTAAAGCAAAGTAGTAAAACAAAGCGTAGTGATTATATAATGTTTGGTATTTTGCAAAGGACATTAGAGTGTGTAACAGACGTATATTGTCTGAATAATTTATAGCATTGAAAAATTGAAATTATTAACTAAGCGTGTTACATAGTACATGGTGTCGAATGTACACAGTGATTTAGCTAAAAGATTAAAGAGTCCATTTTTGATTTGTAAATTGAAATATACTAAAACGGCACTTAAATTAAGTGACAACTAGAGTTACTAGCTTTATGTCTCACATGTGGATTTCCGAAAGCACCGCAACACTGGTGATGATTGACGTTCTTCGTGTGATGGTGTCCATGAGGAAGAACACTGCCTGATTGAATCGGCGGGTTTTTCTCTTTTATGGAACCCTGTTTTATTTGCTTCTGGGTACAGTTTTTGTGGTGGCCCGGGGCTATTCTTGCCTTGAAACGTCCAACTTTGCCTTGTTTTGGGTTGTTCGATTCGATGTTTTCGGATATTGTGCAGACGTGTCCGGTTGGACTTATTTCAGTGTGCGCGTCTTGGTACTCTGTGTCGGTTTCTATGTAGAGAATACATAAATAAGATACAAAGGCAATCCCATCATCATCACCATGTTTGAATGTTATAACGAAGATAATTATGTACTGCTGGCTGATTACGACCAAGGTGACAGTCTCCGAACACATTCGAAAGCTATTTTTATACATGGGTGACAAACGAACACACAGTGCCCCCTAAGTTAAGTGCTGTGGCCTACGTATATCCTCGATTAAGAGTTAAAAAGTAAAATAAAAAGCAAAGATGGATTTCTAAACTTGTTTTTTAGAAATCACTGTGTGAATCCTATGTTCAGAAGTGGACTTACCCCGAGCAACGTGAGAGTTCGACATCACATCACTTCGCATCACACATCACTTCGACCTGAGTTGGATCACGCATCCAAGAGCCAGTATATTTATTGACCATGCATTTTAGGCTGGTATTCGGAGATCGATCGATCGATCTCCAGCTTAAATTCAAACTTTACAATGTTAAAATTTGTGTAAAACAATATAGTCTTGACGGGTATCTGCAGATTTTTTGATTGAAATTGACTATGTTGCAATTTGTTTTACTACTGTTAATACTTTTTTTAGCCTCTTCAGCTTACGCCACTGCCTTTCCCATAGTTGGAATGATTTGGTATACTGCCCATACTTGGCGTGGCCATTGACGTTCCTGTTATCGGTCCGTGTATTTTACATCTAGCAATTTATTTCATTCGGAATTGCGACACCCACGTGATGATATGGGGTAGTGGATATTTTAACGCCGACTATACGGTGAAGCCAGTGGTAGTGGTGACCCCAAATCAACCCGTGGGCGTAGTTTGAGGCGACAGAGGAAAACTAAAACAGGAGGTGGACAGCAGCATCTTCCTGCTCATCATCATCATTACAGCTTATCCAAGTCCACTGCTGAATTCTGATTGGCCTCTCCCATAGATTGCCCCGTGGATATTTGCCAAAGTTACCACTTTGGCAGGCTGGTTGGAAACCGTAATTTTTTTTTAATTTTATGTTTGTACCTATCATTCTATCTCCTATTTCAAGATAACAATTTAAAAAAAATGCTGTTGCCAACGCGCCTGCCAAACGTGGCAACTATGGCTAATATCCGCGATAGGACAGCAATCTGTAGGCCTATGTATTAAGTGAACTTTTGATAAGCCGTAATGATTAAATATATACAAAATGGTTATTGGTTAATGTTGTCTATCGAAGACCACAAGGTCTTCGGGACATTCTCTTAAGCGACTATTACGACACCCATGGGATAAGAATGGGTAGAAACATAAAAAATATATACATTACTTTAGCCAGCTGTAGATACTGTAGTACTGGAGTCGTATGAAAAAGGCATCCTCAAGTGATGTATTTAACGTCTGAATCCTACCAGGATCATAAATATTATAAAAGAGTAGTTTACCTATTTCCTCAGTGCTATTTTTGGGCGCCGGTGTCAGAGCAGGATCCGTGCGAAGCGAGGGGCACGAGTCCGCCATTATCAGGGACATGGTGCCCGGATACTGTTATTTTAAAGTACATATTAAGTAAAAGTTAAGTAACAGATTACAAACGTCCCGCTAATGGGCTTATATTTCTTTCCCACAAGGGTGATGAATTAGAAAGCATTTGCCGCGCTTCTGCAGTGCGCCTGATTTCTTACATCTAGAAACACACAAATTAATAAAGTCTAGGGAAACAAGGGTATTATAACATTTATTTTAAATTTAAAAATGTTTAGTTTTATATATACGTAATTTATCAATGAAAACTATGGTAAAATTAAATATTTTGTACAACCGACTTTAATATAAATTATTAAGGATAAGTCAAAAACTATTAGTCAGACCTTGATCAAACTCATATGGGACCAAATGGGAAGCACGAGCTTTCAAATAAAAAAAGGATCATCGAAATCGATTCTCCTAGAAAATAGTAATAAGGTAACACACATAAAAAAAAATTGCTTAAAGATATGACTCATTCCTCTTTAAGCAATATTACCGCCTATGTTTAGCTAATAAGGCACTTGTATTTAACAATTAAATTTAGGTACTAACATAGGTTATCAGTTTCATATTTAGTAACAAATTTTATGGATCGCTTGGTTATCTGATATAAAATTATTATTATATTATTATTATTAGTGATAATCCGGCATAACTTACATTTTGATTCTGAATCGAGAATAGATGTAAATAAAAATTGATACCTATTGCAACCGCCACCTTGGATTTACATTTCGACAGCACTATCGGCTTCAACACCCGCGAAAACCATGAGAATTTCACCCATGATGAAAAAATTGATATCTATTGCAGCCGCCATCTTGGATTTACATTTCGACAACCCTATCGGCTTCAACTCTCTTGAGAACCATGAAAATGACACCCATGATGAAAAAATTGATACCTATTGCAGCCGCCATCTTGGATTTACATTTCGACAGCACTATCGGCCTCAACACTCTCGAATAGCATGAGAATGACACCCATGATGAAAAAATTGATACCTATTGCAGCCGCTACCTTGGATTTATATTTCGACAGCACTATCGGCTTCAACACCCGCGAAAACCATGACAATGTCACCCATGATGAAAAAATTGATTTCTATTGCAGCCGCCATCTTGGATTTACATTTCAACAACCCTATCGGCTTCAACTCTCTTGAAAGCCATGAAAATGACACCCATGATGAAAAAATTGATACCAATTGCAGCCGCCATCTTGGATTATTTACATTTCGACAGCACTATCGGCTTCAACACCCTCGAAAACCATGAAAATGACACCCAAGATGAAAAAATTGATATCTGTTGCAGCCGCCATCTTGGATTTACATTTCGACAGCACTATCGGCTTCAACACCCTCGAATAGCATGAAAATAACACCCATGATGAAAAAATTGATATCTATTGCAGCCGCCACCTTGGATTTACATTTCGACAGCACTATCGGCTTCAACACCCGCGAAAACCATGAGAATGTCACCCATGATGAAAAAATTGATATCTATTGCAGCCGCCATCTTGGATTTACATTTCGACATCACTATCGGCTTCAACACCCGCGAAAACCATGAGAATGTCATCCATGATGAAAAAATTGATATCTATTGCAGCCGCCATCTTGGATTTACATTTCGATAGCACTATCAGCTTCAACACCCTCGAATAGCATGAAAATAACACCCATGATGAAAAAATTGATACCTATTGCAGCCGCCACCTTGGATTTACATTTCGACAGCACTATCGGCTTCAACACCCGCGAAAACCATGAGAATGTCACCCATGATGAAAAAATTGATATCTATTGCAGCAGCCATCTTGGATTTACATTTCGACATCACTATCGGCTTCAACACCCGCGAAAACCATGAGAATGTCACCCACGATGAAAAAATTGATATCTATTGCAGCCGCCATCTTGGATTTACATTTCGACAGCACTATCGGCTTAAACACCCTCGAATAGCATGAAAATAACACCCATGATGAAAAAATTGATACCTATTGCAGCCGCCACCTTGGATTTACATTTCGACGGCACTATCGGCTTCAACACCCGCGAAAACCATGAGAATGTCACCCATGATGAAAAAATTGATATCTATTGCAGCAGCCATCTTGGATTTACATTTCGACATCACTATCGGCTTCAACACCCGCGAAAACCATGAGAATGTCACCCACGATGAAAAAATTGATATCTATTGCAGCCGCCATCTTGGATTTACATTTCGACAGCACTATCGGCTTCAACACCCTCGAATAGCATGAAAATAACACCCATGATGAAAAAATTGATACCTATTGCAGCCGCCACCTTAGATTTACATTTCGACGGCACTATCGGCTTCAACACCCGCGAAAACCATGAGAATGTCACCCATGATGAAAAAATTGATATCTATTGCAGCAGCCATCTTGGATATTCATTTCGACAGCACTATCGGCTTCAACACCCTTGAAAACCATGAAAATGACACCCAAGATGAAAAAATTGATATCTGTTGCAGCCGCCATCTTGGATTTACATGTCGACAGCACTATCGGCTTCAACACCCTCGAATAGCATGAAAATGACACCCATGATGAAAAAATTGATACCTATTGCAGCCGCCACCTTGGATTTACATTTCAACAGCACTATCGGCTTCAACACCCGCGAAAACCATGAGAATGTCACCCATGATGAAAAAATTGATATCTATTGCAGCAGCCATCTTGGATTTACATTTCGACATCACTATCGGCTTCAACACCCGCGAAAACCATGAGAATGTCACCCACGATGAAAAAATTGATATCTATTGCAGCCGCCATCTTGGATTATTTATATTTCGACAGCACTATCTGCTTCAACACCCGCGAAAACCTTGAGAATGTCACCCATGATGAAAAAATTGATATCTATTGCAGCCGCCATCTTGGATTTACATTTCGATAGCACTATCGGCTTCAACACCCTCGAATAGCATGAAAATAATACCCATGATGAAAAAAATGATACCTATTGCAGCCGCCACCTTGGATTTACATTTCGACGGCACTATCGGCTTCAACACCCTCGAATAGCATAAAAATGACACCCATGATGAAAAAATTTATACCTATTGCAGCCGCCACCTTGTATTTACATTTCGACAGCACTATCGGCTTCAGCACCCTCTGTGGCTGCAGCTCCGAGTGGGGCTATTTACAGAAATAACATACAAGGCTACCAAATCAATTTACATACAAGGCTACCAAATCAACGAAAATTTCGCCATTTTGGAGCCGAAAAAAAACAAAATTACACTGCCATTTTCATTCAGTGGCTTCCCACATGATAGATGAAGAGATTAAAAAATAGATGGAGTTAAACAATTGATATTTTCAAAAGTTATCGTGTTTACAAGCCTTGGGGACTTGATAAATCCACACCATAAGCCACTAAAACCCCCTTTTTATTTAAAAATAGCAATTAATCGATTTAAAAAAAATATTAATAAGTTCAACAATCATTTATCTTTCTAAGAATGTGGTTTTTATATCATTTATATGTATAATATGATTGCTAGATACGATTTCATTCGATAAAACGTTGGAATCTTAATTTTTAGGCGATAGTAGAACATACCTTGCGCTTTCGCTTAAGGCATGCAATATACAGTCGAATTGAATACCTCCTCCTTTTTGAAGTCGGTAGAAAAAGCGTATGAATTGTAATTTAATACTCATATAAGGCTTATCTAGTGAAAAATTATTTATTAGGAAAAGCTTAAATAGGCATCATTTAAGCTTTTCCTTAAAAGTTAGATGTTGCAAAAAATGTAACATAATTTTAAATTTATTAAAAACTAGCTGACCAGGCAGACGTTGTTCTGCCCTTTCCGACAACTGTTTGTTTCCTAAAAAAAAAACCCTTGAAATTAGCAATAAAAAAAACTGAGGGTCACTTATCGGGATAAAAACTGTCCTTTCTCACAAGTTGGACCAAATTGCACACAGTGTGTAAAATTTCATTGAAATCAGTTCAATATTTTAGGAGTTCATCGCGGACAAACAATGTGACACGTAATTTTTATATATAAAGATATAAATCCTGCAACTTTTTGACAATCTGTTAGACCCCCCAAGGCATAACAAAAACTATGCAAGCACGTTAGGTTATCTATTGTGACCTGTGTCTATTGTTTAAGGTACGTTACGAAACCCCGTACAATGCGATAAGCAATATATATTATAGATATATAGAATAAATGAAGATAAGTTTTACCGTCCTAATTCCAAAAAGATTTTGCATTACGGTTTTATTTTGCATTATATTTTTAAATTTAGAACAATTATGTACTCTTAATAATTATAAATACAGTTTCAGCTTACGTTTAGAAATTATAGTGGTCGGTACTTTTTATTCAATAAGATTATATAATTAACTTGTTCCCCAGGCTTTCTTCAATAGTGTGGATTAGATTTAAAACTTAATTAAAAGTAAAAATTTCAAACATGCCGATAGCTCCATAGCACAGTGACTTAGGATTGAGTTGCGGTGTTGACGGCCGCGGATTTGAATCCCGCACGGATCAAGTATTAATTGTATTGCCTACAAATAATAATTATAGTTGTGGTAAATTACCTCCACGATACAGGAGAAAATCCATGTTTCACGTTTGTTTTTCGAAAAGAAAAAAGACCATACTTGCCAAAAATGACCAATCATGAAGGCCTCGGAGGTCCTCAAAATAATCAAAATATTTATTTGAATAAAAACAATATATTGGATGTGTGGCATTCCTTGGGGGAGGCCTATGTTCAGCAGTGGACTTGTTAAAGGCTGTAATGATGAATGACGAATATATTGCGTTTTTAAAACGAACTACTAAGTATAAAATAATTTTATAGTATTGGTATGGATTTGCAATCGATTTATTCTGTGTCAATCATTATAAACCTGTCCTGTGCAGATGGCTAGTCTGCGTTGAGACTGGCCGCCGTGACCGAATTTCGGTTTGGAGGACATCCTAATGGGGCCAATAATGCTATTACGGATTTCTGTGCCGTGCCTTTTGTTACCATTTTCTTGTTACTTAAACTGTTAGCAACTCTTACAACGCCTGACCTTAGTGATAGTTTTCACACCATTATTCGGCTGCCTACATATTGCACAGTCATTTATTTTTCATTAGAATTTTATGTTGTAGAGTAACGAATGCGCTTGAGTAGTCTATAAGTCTTTTTAGACTCCTGTAGTCCTAGTAGTCTTACTAGGACATGCTTTATGCCATGCAGCTGTTTGTATATCATCAATAACATACAACATACCGTTAGTATGTTGTTGTGTGGTGCTTTCTCCCTGGTTTCAAACCGTATTGCTAATTTGTTATAATCCATTTATACAACTTGCATATTTGTTTAGCTATATTTTTCAAGATTTTTATCAATAGTAGGTAGTATATTAATTAGACGATAATTTTCATACCGAGCTTGTTTTTGTATTTGGAATTTGGGTCTAAAATTCCTGTCTCGAGTGCCTGTGGATATTTTCCTTGCTAAGGATATATCAGTTTAGATATTGGTTCAACGATGTCAGTGGCTATTGTATTCAAATATTTTGCTTCTATGCTAGGTGCTTTATAAATATTTAAAGATCTTATTTCTTTTAGAACGGATTTGGCTGAGGCTTGTCTCAATCTTAGAGATAGGTTAACTGGACAGATATATTCATTTATATTGAATATAGCAATTAGTTATATTTTCCAAAAATATTTCTAGTAATTTCTAATTCTGTAATAACAATTTAAGTTCAAGGTATAAGTAGTTAAGTAGAACTATACTTACTCTGGGCTCAAACAAGAAAGTGTCTTGTTCGCGATCCCTGGTAACAGGCGCAGTGCCGGCTCTGCAAGGTGACGTCGCACTGTAACTTAAGATTTATGTGACCCCTGTAGAATTTCTAGAACAATATTCAATGTTTTCCAAACCAGTAACATCCATGTAGCAAATAGTAATTAAAATAATATTAATAAAAAATACGTATTCGCGTCTTTTTGCAACATACGATGTTAATTTTCATAAAACAAATGAAGTTATTTGAACGATAAATCATTGTGTTATTGTAAACAGTATTTAAAAGGAAAAAAGCTCATTAAATGTGTATGTATCTTCAATTATAGAAAACATTTTGGAATTTCAATAAACTAGATTTCTAAAAAATTGGTTACATGTCAGAGACATAAAAATACTTTTTATAATATGTATCACATATGTTATTGGTTTTGATTTATAGATTACCTCAGGAGTAAGTTTTGTGGTCTAGATATATAGATTGTTTATTAGCTCGAAGTTTCAATAGTCTACGAATGAGTTAAAATAAATATAAACAAAATTAACATTTTGCAGATAGTTTCTTAAATGCCGGAGACTAAATTAAAATAATAAGACAGACAGAGTATTCAAAACTGCTTCTTTTGTGCCTAATATCTTGGAATAGAACTGCTGAGAACCATCTAGCTAATTAATATTTAAATTATTAATTTGATCTGAGGCTAATAATTCTAAACGTAATTTATTTCGAGTTATTTCAACGATTGCGCTTGTTCACTGCTTATAACAATTCGACATTTTCGTTAAGGTATTGAATTCTATCGCTAATAAAGGCAATAAAGAGCGAGTTCTTTTGTTTTTATGATACTATAATATTAACAGGCATTGTATTAACAGATTCTTCTAATTTTAAATGCAATATAGTTACCAGAAAGACGAATTCAAGCTGTCCAATGTTCTCTGTGGATCTATTGACTCGGCGTCAGTCCACACACCTCCAACAGAAGCTGAAGTAGACCTCGAGTCTGAAACAATATGTTTATAAGGGAACTCGTAAAATTGTACCAGTAAATGTATGGCCGTATGTAGCTAAATATTTCCATTCTCGTGATGAACGATACAAAACCGGTTCTTTGTTCCCGGCGGCCTCACCATTCCTGGCTTCGGTGGTGACCATAGAAAAGGCGATGGAGGGAATGCTAAGAAACCTAAGCGAAAGTTCGGGAGTTTTGCAAGACCCGTCGCAGAAGAACCCAAAAAATATTTGATCACATTCGCTGTTAGAAGAAAAATGAAACTACAGTTTTCAATAGATGATAGCGTACATGCATCTGCACAGATAGATCTCACAAAGATCTATCTAGAGAAAACAGTCTAAGTTAAAGGCCCTTTCGGTAATATCTCGGACGTCAGATCAACAGACTAACGTCTGAGCGAGATTAGAATGGTTTTTAAATATTTTGAAAACGCAGCGGAAAAGCCCCGGTTAAGGTTGGAATTACAACAGAGCTTATGAAAACAGGTGAAGATGTTTTGAAGCTACTGGGGCAGGTAGTGTGTACGGTACCAACAATCTATGATGAAAACATCACTCATCTTCGTATGTTTACCAAAGAGATAGAAATTATGACAGAATCACTGGCGGGCAGTAGTATTATGCTTAATAACTACAACAGTGTCAGTCAACAGATAGGTTTAAAGATGAATATGGACAAGACAAAGATCATAATGTCATACTTGTGCCGGTAGTTGTTGGGTACACAACGCTCGAAGTTGTTGACGCGTATGTTTATCTAGGACAAATTGTCCGACTAGGTAAGTCACGCAACTTCGATCAAGAGTTCAATCGACGGATCCAACCCGGCTGGACAGATTTCAAGAAATTCTGACACATCTCGTCACGTATTCCTAAAACAACTTGTGCGAGTTGTCAGTGACAAAGAATATAAATCTTACGCAAATTGTACTAGTATTTAAAAAGAGAGTAAAATATTTTCCGTTGATTTTTTTGGTGGCCCTACATGGGCATGAACAATATTTTTCAATTTGCAGTTCTACCCAGTTCTTTCTACTAACTTCCTGGCAGGAAATCACAAAAAATAGAAAACCTGGAATATAAAATAAGAAAATAGGAATACGTTTAATTTTTACGTATTAATAAATTAGAGCAGTTTATTAGGTAGTAAGACTCCGATTTCAGTCCTATACGTGATAGAGCCATGCTGCAGCTATATTAGTAATATGGTTGTAGCACGAATGGGTCGGCTCGACCGGGGAAGGAGCACACTTTCACAGAATACCAGCGTAAAATAGCAGCTTAACACTGCTGTGTTTCGTATGGTGAGTGTAGAGAACCGGAGACCCTTTTTACTGGAAAAGAGGCATTCCATCTTAGTCCTCACGGGTGACAACGGATCTGCATTTTGATTCGCAAACGAGGATAGATGTAGATGTCTATGGCTTCCATCAGGTGGACTGTGTGCTCGTTTGTCACCTTATCCTATAAAAAAAGTCCTAAGTGGTTACAACGCATCAGGAGGCTTCTCTGTTTAAAGTTATCCATGTGTCCAAGTGTCAATGATGTGCAGTAGTCACATTTATTTTTAACCTGTTATATCCTTCGTCACTTTAATCTTATTAAAAACACATTCAGAACTTGCATGAGTAAATAGTTCAAATTATGAGTTGTAAAATATGATTAGTTTGCAATTTTTTAGATGGACTGGTTTTGATAGAAATTAATCCGGCTGTAGTTAAATATTTATTTAAATTATTCGCAACTGCCAACATTTGTCTTTGGCACTCAGGGTTGATTGGAAAAGTATGCCACAAAGCATTAAGTCCGCCCTATGTTCCCTAAGCTTTAAGATGTTATATTTAAGTATATATAAGAGACGTACCTTTGTTGGTTTGATTGTATGGAAGCTGTCGGCCGTTGATCGCACTGTTTTGGTACTGCTCCAAATATTCACTTCTGTCCCTTTCCACTCTGTTCGGCGAATTGGCTATACTTCTTCTAGCGACGTCTTGGAAAGTCACCGGAGAATACATCCGTCTCTCTTCCACCGGTGACGTTACCGTAGACGCTTGGTTTCTTGGGTTTGACAATATCAGATTTCCAGCACTATTAATTAAGGAATTAGGTCCAGAATTGACCGCGTTTAGTAGATGTTGATAATTCAACAGATGCTCCTTGTTGTGCATTTGCTGGGCGGAATGTTCCGCGATGCTGTCTCTGACGTCAACTGCTCGTTCCCACTCCAACTCTTTCCCCGGTTGCAGTTGCGAGGATATCATTTTGCTTAAAGATGGCCGTGATTCTCTACCTTCGAGCCAATAGGTTTTCATAGCTCCTGCAATAAAACCATACCGTTTTATATAATATGCAAAGCGAAATAAATATTTAAATAAAAGAAATATATTTTACTAATAAAATATTTAAAATGATATTTTATAATTATACTTTATCCCGTGTAGGGGCGATGTAAGAATATCCACTACCCTTTATCGTCCCATGTGTGTCGTAAGTCGTAAGAGGCGATAGAGGGAAACTGAAACACGAGATGGGTAGCAGCATCTTCCTGAGTTGTAACTCAAAATAATAAAAAACTGCGGTTGCCAACTCATTTGCCAAGCGTATGTATGGCATATACAAGTATGGCAAAATCCCTCTATGAGGCATACAGGCTCGATGTTCAGCAGTAGACTATTATAGGCAGTAATGGATGGATGAATGGATATTTACTCAGAATATAATTTTAATCATTAATATAATTCAATCGGTGCATTGAAGGGACTGATAAGGATATGTGAGTTCTGTACTGAGGCCTATGGGCTCAGTTACAAAGCATAGAAAAGTGATTTAATGATTTTTAAATATGGCAGCAAGTGCGAATCACTACCAAGTGTCAAACTCTCTGATAGTAGTCAGAATAGAGTTGAGAAATTTAAGTACTTTGGCCACTGGGTCACCGAAGACTTGAGTGACAACACTGATGCAAAGCAGGAGCGCAGGTCACTGTCTGTCCAACGAATAGAGTAAAATAGAATAATTTTTATTCAATATTGATTACAAGTAGGTAATTATTGTTGAAAGTAATTTTTTTACTTTACTACTGGTACGAAAAAAACCTCTGTCCGTGAAGAACCTGCAAGTAACCCAGCGGGACTTTTTATAAAAGTAAATTTTACATTAATGGTTGTACAAACTATTTACAAAATTTATTTTAGAAACAGGTTGGAAGCGACTACCTCATTCGTAATTATCAACCATGTATTCATTTATATTATAATAACCCTGATGTAATAATATGTTGGCCCGCATACTTGCACGCTGTACTAAACAGGTTACGCAAAACCTGCTTGTCAGTCCTTCTATACGTGGAGCCTGTGGGCGAACTATACACGGAGGACTTACAACGATCTGCGCGTACAATACAATAATGCAGTTCAGCATTCTTATAGGGTTATGCGATATTGTAGCGCCTCGGGCATATTTGTAGAGGCACATATTTTCGGGTTCGAAGCCATAATGCGCAAAAGATGTGATGCTGAGTCGCATGCAGGCTATCACCATCATTCTGAGCGTACTAGAACATATGGGGTTCACCAATGTTGGTGCATTGAATAAAACTGCATACCGTAAATTATACCTACCAGTATACCGTAAATTATACCTACCTTGGTTAGGTATATTAATTTTAATGTCAATTTTATTTCAATTTGAATTTAATTTAACTTTAGCCTAACATAAGGGTCGATCGATTATAAAATACTAACAAATAGTACGTATAATTGGTCTGAAATAAATGAATTATTATTATTAACTGGCTATCCGCCCCGCCTTCGCACGAGTGATTTCTGGATTTCAACAACAGCGCCACCTATCGGGTCCAATTGTGAATCGTTTAGATCATCCAGGGACAAAACAAATCCAAACATACACAAAAAATTTTATCACATCGATCCAGCCGTTTCCGAGTTTTAGCGAGACTAAAGGAGCTATTAGATTGAAAGTTTAAAAATATTTTTATTTTTAACGACCCGCACTGCCCCCTGTGGGTGGAATTTCATAAAATCCGTTCTTCGTAGTTTTAACAACAAGAGAATAATCTGGACAAGTTTTATACCTATATGAGCTATAGGGTTCCGTTTTGTCCTTTTGAGGTACGGAACCCTAAAACGAATTTTGTATTTAAAATATATCCATGGTTGACTAAGGGGCTTCGATTTTTATTGGAGAAAACAGCCAGCAGCCTAACACTGAACTACAAAAATTACAAATAATTCAAAAAATATTTATAATTACGCTGTTATCAGGAAGATGCTGCTGCCCATCTCCTGGTTCAGATTCCCTCTGTCACCTCTTACGATATCCACAGGATGAAAAATCTTAATCCTCGAGGACGATAAGCATCTGTGGCTTCAGTAACCTCTTAGCACCATTTACCGTCACGTAAGTTACCTTGTCACTTTCATATATAAAAAAAATTACTACTAAACTCACCCTTTCCCTTGACCTGTATTTCTCCTCTTTCCACGACTTGGTATGACGGCGAGAGCAACTCCTGCGTGGTCTGCGATATGTGGATCCTCATTGCTTCTGAAGTGGACTCCATACGGGACGCTGTGTTGACCGAATCTCCAAACAGGCAATAGCGCGGCATCTTAAGGCCTACGATGCCGGCGACTACAGCACCGGAATGCACGCCAACCCTTATCGATAAATGTGAACCTAGGAATGGTTACACACTTACATATAAAATCATTTTATTTAATTATTTCTGAAATCTACGCTATTGTTCATATAATAATGTACAGTTTTTTGTTAATAAAATGCAGGATCATTTCTCATTTTTTAAAAAACGTTACCCCACATTAGGATTGCCTATTGATTGGGGTAACGTTTTTTAAAGTGCGAATGATACAGGAAACAATTTTCCTGTATCATGGAGGTAGTTAACAAATATTTGTAACAATAATTTGTAAGCCATATAAATACTTGTTCCGTGCGGGATTCGTACCTGCGGCCCATAGCCCCGGAACTCAATTCTGAGCCATGGAGCCGTCAATGGGATGCCAAGGCAAGAGTTGGGCTCTTGTTAAGCTAAATGAGTGAATTTTACGTCTTCGGCTACATCACCACTTATTATCGGGTGGGCCGTGGGATAGTGGTGAAGCCGTAGCTTCTAATATTTAAAAAAGGGTATTCGCTAACAGTATCAAGAACTTGATATATTTTCTCCAGGGCTAACACACACATGCCAGTACTTAACTCCACATGCCTGATGTAACTCTTAGTAGTTTGTATTTATATATTGTTCCTATTTTAAAGCGACGATGTGCGATAAAATATTTAAAACAGTTATGTGTTTTCAAATTATTATAAGATACAAAGCAGTAGCTGATGAGATAATACACCTGATGGTGTGGCTAATCGTAGACCATACGCAACCAACGTTAAGCAAAAAGCCTGACAAATATGTTGACATTGATAAGGACTATGAAATGCTGTCATCACTAAGCCGAACACAACCGTGGCTGCACTGTCGCTTGGCAGTTAGAAGACCAGCACCTACCCTCAATTAAATCAACCTAACCTAACCTAACCTAACCTAACCCAACTAAGTATCTATTTATCAACCAAAATAAATGTAAAACCTTACTTAACTAACCGCACAGCCTCTAGGTCACATTAGTACAATATTCATTGTATCACGCTATTTTCTCCAAGGGGTTGAGCGGAGCTTCGGAACTTCTGATTATAGTCCTAAGTAACAATGATATAACTTTTAGCGTATTTAGGTATAGATATTTAGTAATGCTCCTTAAAAACACACTAGACGCCCGCGCATGAGACGCGATAGTATAAATTCCATAGTATTTGATACTCATAACGCTCGATGCCCGATTCATGCTTGGATGGCTGACGACACTGTGCCGAGAGCTTAAATAACGTGGTTCTTCTATGGTTATCTGCCTATTTATATTAACAATATGTTAAAAAATAAATTCCGGGGAAACTGCCCACGGCAGTAAATATTTTTCTCCAAAGATTTTAGATCGAAAATACAACTTTCCGATCTGATTCTTGGGGAATTTTTTAAGTTTATCGGTAAAGTCACCTGGAGTTTTATACATTTGAATTAAAATTCAACAAAAGGTAGGTAGGTTCAGGTTATTCCCAGAAACATGTAATATGAATATTTTGTAATTATTTTAGAACTATCATATTAAAATACAGTAAATTTTTGAATTTAATCAATTTCGTGCACTAAACAATTTTTTTAAAATCATTTTACCGCTTCCTTAACAATAATTTTTCGATAGACCTTTCAAGTAAAATGTACATCACTAACTAACGCACACAATGACAAATCAAAATTGGTCACGCGTTTTCGGGCAGTCAAAACGTCTATACGCCAGTATATTCTAAGTCTATGGGTTTAATCCTAATCCAAAGAGTATTTAATCTTTAGGTTTTGTTTTGCCAATTTTACTACTTCCCAAGCTTCAATTTGATCTCAATGATTACAGTCAAAAGCGTAAAGGTAATTCAAATTTAGAATTTTCATGTCAACTGTTAAAATATTGTGTGATTTTCTAAATAATTAGCACATTAATGCATATTTCAAACTTTATAATTTAGGAACTATATTTGAAACTCGTTTAGGAGTAATAATAGTGTTCCGTGCTCGGTAATATTGTTGTGTAATGGCTAACGAAGCAGAAGAAACGGTGCGTAAACTAGCAATGCACAGAGGTGTTGCCGGTGTTATAGTCGTTAATGGCGAAGGTATACCGATCAAAACAACTTTGGACAACCATGTCTCTGTGCAGTACGCAGGACTTATGACTGCATTAGTGGACAAGGCAAAAGCTGTTGTTAGAGATCTTGATCCATCCAACGATTTAACATTCTTACGTATAAGAAGTAAAAAGAGCGAAGTTTTGGTCGCTCCCGACAAAGACTTTATTTTGATAGTCGTTCAAAATCCCACCGAATGAAGACCGTGTTCTCTACCTTAACTATTTACCATTTTCTACCTTTAATTATTGAATGATTACTGGGTGTTTTCTTTTCTATTTGTGTGAGGCAAACAGAATAAGTGTAATAAAAAACCTTGTGTGTGCTTAAAATCTTTTATTTTTAAGAAGTTCGTCTAACGAAATTAATTCACTTAATATCTTTTAAAATCCTGAATATTTGCTTCAGAATGATGAAACACGAATATACTCCCTTGTTAACTTGAATCTGATATAATACGATTATTTGATAAAATTGAACATATCCAACTTGAATGCAACAGTATTAGACACAGACTTTGGATATTATAGCAGAAGGAGACATGTCTAGAGACATAATATATCGCAGCTTATCTCTCGACATGTATCCGTCTTTGTTTCGAAACCTTGTATTTTCCGGTCTGAGACAACAGTCCACATTACCGTAGTAAGTTCTCAGAAAGAGGTAGTGTTGTATTGTGGTGATATGTTATTATGCATATGACGAAGAAAGGTGAACGCAAGAAAAGAATGTGGGAGTACGCGAGTTTTTAATAAAAAGTTCTCACCTTTAGCCTAACACAAATTTTCTTGAATTTGTAAAACACCGATTAAATATTAGCCATAACTCCGCGATTTTTAGCTTTTGCCAAGTCTCGAAGTAGCAATTAAAATAATATAACTAAGTATGTGCCTGTATCAAGTTTTGGTGAACCAAATAAAACTAAGTAGTTAAATATTGCGATTTTGTTGATGTAAACGCTGAAACAAATAAAAATGGTGAGCTCCCGGTGATAGAACAAGTTGCCGGATTCAAGGATTACCATGTCCTCCCCCTCTCTTCGGACCTCAGATAATCCTATAATATCCCGGCGCAACCTGTCCATCTCTTCTTCCAGCTCAAAGATCTTCTCGTCAGTCCTCAGGGTGCGTGCGTTATATGTTGCCAGGTCGAGTCGTCTTAGGTGGCAACCGAAACTACACCAGAGATTCTTAGCACCCTCTGCCCCGATGTTACCATGGCCGCCGCCGTAGCCAGGAATAGCTGACCCGCAGGGGCCTGAGTGCCGTCTCTTCGTAACTTTCGGGTGGTGTTTGCTACAGTTGCCACGCTTGGCGAGCGGATTTGCAACCGCAGTTTTTTATTGTACTAGAAGATGGTGCTGCCCATCTCCTGCCTGTTTCCCACTGTGGCCTCTTACGATACCTACGGGAAGATATGGGGTAGTGGATATTTTTAACCATGGCGGTTAAGAATATCCACGGATGCTACAGCGTAAGGGGTGCCTTCATATCTGGTATAAGTTCTAGCAAAATTAGACAGAGATTACTAGAGAAATTGTCTTCTCTTGAAGAAGCTTATAATCAAGCGTTGTCTCTAGAAATAGCAGAAGTTTACTTACAAAACTTTAACACGCTATCAGTCAATCCCATTGGAACCGAACCAAATACACCTTTATCAACTTCTCTTGGCGAAGAAAGCAACACAGAAAACGAAGAGAGTAAAGCAACATTCCCTGCGTATATAAAAGGCAAAAGAGCGGAGCCTTTTGTGAATACTGGAAGCTCTGTAAGTTTTATCACCTACAACTTCAGTAAGTTGTGTAAGTTCAAGGGTAAGTTTAGCAGGCAAACAACATTAATAACATGTCTAAGCAATACCTCACCAGTCGAAAGACAAACGTATCAAAGTATTACAATCTGAAAGCATATATATGAAAATAGCTATTAATCAATAGCTATTCCCCTGGACTTCACCCGTGTGGAATTATTTTCCGCGGAACCCTTAAATAAAAGTAGCCTAAGTTGCTCCTTATAACATCAACTACCTGCCAGTGAAAGTCCCACCCAAATCGGTTCGCAGGTTTTTGCGTGATGTGTGTTCAGACAGACGTGTTTTTTTTACGGCTTACCTAACATTATTATCTTTATATTTTAGCCAATTTACACAATATCTTTATTAATTATAGCTTATGTGTTATTCTGATGTATGAGCTATATAATTGTAAAGTTTAATTAAAATACATTTAGTAGTTTTTGCGAGAAAGAGTAATAAACATTCATACAACCTCACAAACGCGAGATAATATGAAGGGTACAGGGGCAAAACAAGGAATGTCACAAAAACTTCAAATATAAATTAAGTATAGCAACACTAAGATTTTCGCGTGTATTTTTATGTAGCACTAGCTGTGCCCGCGGCGTAGCTCGCGTATACAGGTTTTACATAAAGAATTTGTCGTTTAGGTAAGAGAATATTAAACGATTTATTTCATTACTGTATCAATAAGTGGTAACTAAATAAATCATTATCATCAAAGTTCTAAGTCGTTTATGATAGAGCTTCTGTGTAAACGACGTTAGAAGTAGGCTTAGCCGGGGTGTACACAAAAAGGTTACGGGGGCTACTAACGCGGGAAAAAGCAACATAGAGTTGGCCATGTGCAAAACAGTCAGTACTGAGGTACACTCCTACAACGCGTAAAGTTTGACCTTGCGCTTCATTTACGGTCATCGCATAACACACATTCACTGTAACTGGGAACTGAACGCGCTTAAAACTGAAAGGAAAGTTACTTCTTAATAGAGGGTTTTCGGGCAGTACTGCCAGATAAAAAAAAACTCATTCAGCTCTAGGACAACACAAAAAGCGCTAGATTTCATGAAAACAGCGCTTTAAAAAAGCCCTAGATTTCGCGCTAAATTAACTACAAACAAAGTTTGTGTTTTTTTATATAATCATAATAAAGAAAACAACATTAAGTTTTTTTTTGGCAATATTTTTTTGATGTATCAATACTTCGCAGGACATCGACTTATAATTATGGCAATTGCTGTCAACAGTAGTTAGTACTGTACGAACAATAAAAATGTCATTAATTGTTTTAAAGTGCAATGTATTTCGCAACTCAGTTTCAGATGTCAGCATCTGATTGCGGTTGCTACACAGTTTCTTTGTGTTATAACTTCTAAGTAACTTTTAACTTAGCTGTGCTCTAAGCAACTGACTGAAACTGAATAAAGCAAAATAAATGCGTTGCCAAAACCATGAACGAAAACTTTAATAAAGGGGATTTCCCCGCTTATAGTCGTCGGTAAAAAAATCAAGTTGATTATCCTAAAGGGGAAGCCAGGAGATCCATAGCACAGGGTATCCTAGTTTGGACTCGTCTCCCATGCTCTTTGTTTTGTGAAAAAAATATGTTTGAAAAAGATAAACTGCAATGTACTATTTGTGGGAAAAAATAATAAAGGTCATTATAATTATTATCGGTAATGTGGACTAACAGTGCTGCTATAAAAGAGTTAATAACCCGCTAGTCGCTAAAATATTGAAATGTGTGCTAAATACACCAAAAAGCGCTGGATTAAGCTAGGTGCTAAAATTTCGAAATGCGCGCTATACATTCCAAAAAAGCGCTAAATCTAGTTCCCAAAGCGCTAAAATGGCAGTACTGATTTTGCGTATATTATAAATACAATATCACGACATTTCGTTGCAAAATTTTTATTTTTGGTCGGGTTCCGTTGGATGGCTTCGATGTATACAAATTTCTTCAGTAAGTTTCAATAAGATTCATCGGCGAAAAATCTCAGCACAGCAATTCAGAAAAGTTTGTAATTTGTACAACTCCGTCTATTACGTCCTTTGTGTGAGAAAACATCCTTTTTAAATCTCTTTTTGTGTTTTAAGTATACTAATTATTATGGAACGTTTTTTTACACACAAATCTTTTTATTACTATTTCTGAGATTTTATGGCGCCATTGAACAAATTCGAACCTACATTTCAAAATAATAATCATTACTTTCGATAGAATTAACCAATTTTAATAAAACAAAGATTAAATGTGACTCGAAGATACGCTTTATGATTTTCTTAACGATTTCTTTGAAAATAAAAGATGTTTACTTTAGACGTGATGCGTTCATATAATAACGGACAAATAGACAGACAGACAATTCTAAAAATTATAAAATGTTCTTATTTAATTATTTTCAGTTCCCCATAATGATTTTAGCCACCAAAATATATATACAATGTACAGAAAGAGACACAACATGTTATCATCATTTTTATTATATGTATATATTTCAAGAGAGATGGCGCTGCTAACATCAATTCTAAAAATAAAAGAGATTAATTGACGCGATTGATACATTATATAAAACGCAAGAGAACTTATAAATCAGTGCCTGCATAGTAAGCAAAAAATAAAGTTTGACTCTCGCCAAAACCAACGCAATTGTTAATAGCTCTTTTAAAATGTGATTTACCACATAGAGTACTCGGCGGTAAAGAATAAATTGAGTTTGTCAACACGCAGTAGGGCAGCGAGTAATATAATAAAGATTAGCAGTAAATATGAAAACTCATCTACAGGAAAAAACCACATTACATTTTTGCATTGCATTACATTTTCACAACACCACCATCTATCGAAAAAATGGGTTAACTATTGTGCTTCAGATTTAGTTAATAAGGTTAATATATTTTTGTATAATATATTTAATACGTTCTTTAATACTTTTGTTTACTGCGTTTTAGATATACATAATTATATCATTATTTTACATAATTTAACTATGATTTATGATATGATATTAGTTTAAAATGCACTTGATGACTCAAACAAAGCCACCGTTGAGCAAATTCGTACCTATACTTCCCTACCCATACTTCAGAATATTTATCATAACTTTTGATGGAATGAACTGATTTTAATGAAATAAAGACTAAATGTAACCCGAAGATACACTTTATAATTTCCTTAACAATTCTTATGATATAAATTAGTACTTTATACGTGATACGTTAACAAACAAACAGACAGACAGACAGACAGACAGACAGACAGAAAATTCTAAAAATGGTAGAAATGTATTTAATTACTTATTTTTAGTACCCCTCAATCACTTTTATTACAAAAATATAAAATGTACAGACATCTGCTATTTACAGTTTTATTATATGTATAGAATAGATTATGTAAAAAGCATAA